AGCAACCTGAATAAAGGAATTTAATGAAACAAGATTTGGCTGTTCAGGCAGTACAGTTTTAATATCTGTTTATTACTGTAGTTCAATGTAGCTAGCTCATGCAGATCAACACCCGCTTTTGGAATATGATGCTTTTGTTAAACAAAGCTTTAAACTCTCCCTAATGAACTGATGTGCAGAATATAAGTCTTCAATGAGACCTATTTCTTAGGCAACAGAATATGGTATACAGCAGGGTGAACTAAGGGAACTGAAGAGCCCCAGATATTGATCCCAATTGCACAGCCAATACACTGCACTGTCTTTAGTATAATTTTAGTAGGCTTGCTAAACTCGGGGAGGGGGGTATTTTTTGGGGTATCCATATAAGCAGCCTGACTTTCCCCTTTAAAATTGTGGAAGGGGGAAGAACAAGGAATCATAGAATGCTTAAGGTTGGAAGGGACCTCTAGAGGTCATCTAGTCCAACCCCCCTGCACATGCAGGGTCACCTAGAGCACGTGGCACAGGACTGCATCCAAGCGGGTTTGGAAGATCTCCAGAGGAGGAGGCTCCACAACCTCTCTTGGCAACCTGTTCCAGGGCTCTGTCACCCTTGCTGTCAAGAAATTTTTCCTTAAGTTCCTGTGGAACTTTTGGTGCTTCAGTTGTGGCCATTACCTCTAGTTCTGTCAGTGGCCACCACTGAAAAGAGACCAGCACCATCCTCCCCACTCCCTCCCTTGAGGTACTTGTAGACACTGATTAGATCCCCTCTCAGCCTTCTCTTCTCCAGGCTGAACAGGACCAGCTCCCTCAGCCTCTCCTCATAGGGCAGATGTTCCAGGCCCCTGATCATCCTTGTAGCCCTGCGCTGGACTCTCTCCAGCAGCTCCACTTGTCGTCCACCATGACACCCAGGTCCCTCTCTGCAGAGCTGCCCTCCAGAAGGTCAGTCCCCAGCCTGTACTGGTGTCTGAGGTTATTTCTCCCCATGTGCAGGACCTTGCACTTGGCCTTGTTGAATTTAATAAGGTTTTTCACCGCCCACTTGTCCAGTCTGTCCAGGTCCCTCTTGGGTATCAGCTACTCCTCCTCTCTTCATTTCACTATTCAAACTCAGGCTTGGTAATTTACCTTTTCATGCATTGCTTCATGCATTAGTATGAACAACTTACCCATCTTAAATAAATTTGCAGCATTGCAATATTACTCTTTACTGCTCATTGCCTCTAATTTGACTCAATTCTACTCTTTTATAGTGAGCAAAATAAAATTCAGAATTTAGCTAAGCACATTAAGTCAAAGCAGACAAACATATCACCTAAACGCTGACAAATGCTTCTAGTGTTCCCCACTGCTGAACTACTGCTAATAGCGTGAGCTGTGGCATGCTCTAGAAATAGAGCCTCCTTCAGACTTGCATAAATCCCTCCCTGAAGGGGAGTTTTTGTGCCTTTGGTGAAATGCAATTTAAGCATTATGCTTTGCCTCTGTCAAATTCCCTCTTATCAACATTCATACTTACTTGGCAAAAAAGAATTCAGCAAGCAAACTTATTTCATAGGGAAAATATTATACCAGCATATATGGTTCAAAATTAAAATAGTAAATCCATTTTTAATTAGAAAATGGAAGAAACTGCTTCTCCACAATCTGAAATCACATCACTATATTTTGCTCATGAGAACAAAGTTTACAGTCATGAGTTGCACATAAAGGGTTTATTTTAAATGTTTTAAGGATAGAGTTACATCAATTATAAAAATTACTTACAGAATTAACAGATTTAAAGTGTTTATACTTCTAAATGCAGAGAACAGGGAACTGTCTACATTGTTAAAAATAAAATAAAAATAATGAAATCAAGCTTTAAAGATGCAGTCATTACCTAATTTTAAAACGTGAACACAAAGACCTTTGAACTATACACATACCAAGAACCATTCAAGTTGCACTAATGATGTAAAATACAAAGAGCACAGCATTTTCAAGGAACCAGAAACTGTTTTTAACCATAATTCTATTTCCCTGAAGTGACTATAATCAATTCTATCTATAAAGATAAAAAGATAAAAGCCTCCATTTTTAAATAATTAATTTAAAGATGGCTTCTACCTGTTGCAACAAAGAGGGTTTTCCCCAAAGTATTTCAGTCTCTATGTAGTCTACTCCAACTTAGTTTAGGGTTTGGCACTCAAAAGAGAGAAGGAAAATGTAGTGTTTTACTAATTAATTATGTTTTTTTTTTCTTAAACAGAATACATGGTCCCTTCAAATGCTGTAGAACACACACAACTGGAAAATTGCCTTCTGTTAGAACTATGCTCGCCTCACCAGTGCATTTAATCCTACTAACAACCATTAAAACAGCACAATAAGCAAATTCACAAAAAAAAAAAAAAACACAAAATAAAAACAGAACAAAACCAAAACCTAAACATTTTAACATGCAACTTCAGTTTGTTACATTGAACGTTCTAATCCTCTAAGCATGCAAAAAAGGATGGTCTGCATTTAAGTTTTTTTTTCCTTTTTAAAAGTTTTACATGGCAGCCTGACATCACACACACGCACACACACAATATACAACAATACTACAGCAGGTAAATGAGAAAGGCCAATAACTTTTATACAAAGATCCATGGCTTGTGCCATCACAAGCCCTATGATAATTTTGGAAAGTAATGTTGAACCCCTAGAACAAGGAACCAACATTTAGTTACCAGGGTAACGCAAGCACTGCATGCAGATCTGAAACATGAGCCTAAAACAAAGCCCAACGCAGATGGGCAGGGAGTGGAATTAGTCTTAAGCCTCAAAAACGTAGTTTAAGCTATCAAAAAAAGTTTTAAGAAAAAGGAAACAAACAGACAAACAACAAATCAAACGCACTATGCAACAGACAACAGGGACATCTAAAACAACCATAAAATTTACAGTTTATAGAGTATACTCTAATTGGCAGAATACGTGGTGTATTAAAGTGGCTTACAGAAAACCCACAAATGTAAGCCTAAAGCTAAAAGTGTTTCAGTAGACTTAAATTTCAGATATTTCAAAACAAATCTTATACTTCTTAGATGTATAGCCCAAAATTCATTATACTTGGCTTATTCATGCATCTTGTGCATAATCAATACACTCACTCATTCTTGTGCCACAAATATCAGTTTGGGCTCATGGAGCCAGGCTCAGCTTTGAGATTTACATGCAGGACTCTTAAGAGTCAATAGAGAAAACATAACAGATCTGCAGGATGAAAACACTGTGTTGCAAATCTGCTCGCTTTGTTCAAAACACAAGGAACATTTACACTCAGGTACTTAAGTGCTTAAGGACTGCATTGAGAAGCTATTCACTGAAAGACAATAGCCTGCCTTTGGTTGCCCATGATGAAATACTGGACATAATGCAATATAGTAGCAATGGACAAAGAATTAAGGTATCATATTTATATGATGAGCATTTATTACCATTCAACAGCATAATGGGGCACAAGACTTAAGGCTAAAATATGAAGTCAGGCAAAAAATTGACAGAAAGGGGCTTGAACCACTGAGTTTTTGATATCAAGAACACCCACAATTGAGGTCATCCAAACCTCTGATCTCTGATTAACAGCATCTCTCCTGCTATCCCTTCCACTAATGGCATATGGTTGGATAACTCTGTACTCCTTCCTTCCATCAACAGTGATGACTGTCTTCACATACTGCATTTCTGTAAAGCAATACTTTGAAACTTGCAGCGCTCTGCTTAAATGTGACATGACAATTTTGTTGCTGTGCTGATCATTGTTGCAATTCTGATGTTTTTAAAGGGTTGCTACACTTGAGGGGAAACACACACACACACACACACACACACACAAAACCCACAAACCACCTACAACACCACACACTAGCCTTGATTTACAGCTATCTCTCAAGATTAAAACTGTGAAAGGACTCTGCTCTTGTGGGCTG